CAATCTTAATACAAATAGTAATAGTAGCACTATCCCTTTTGCTCAATTTTTATTAGCAGAGAGTGAAGCATATGGGTTTGTGTGTTTTTTTTTCATTATATGTGTGTGTGCATGCCCGTGTGTATATGTGTTGGAATGGAAAGCTTTAACAATTCACATTTATATTTGTTTCCCTATTAGTCTTCATGCATACTGGCTTAAAAAAACACTGCTCCTAGAGGAGTTTAGCATTTTGCCTGTAGAATCTACTAATGGTATGTGTCCATGCACATTAGGTAGTCTAGAGGCATTTTTTTTAATCTCAGTGTTTATAGACAAAAAAAAAAATCTTTCTGTTTGCATTTTATAGAGCATTTTTCTGGCAGAAGATCTGCTAAATGCTCCAAAAATGCTAGTACAATTTTTTTTTAAACCAGAGTACATGGATCCTTACACACAATTCTTCTGTACACATCGGATCACTCATATAACATATTCTATCAATATTCTATGTATTGGTTTTCAACCCACATGTATTTAATGCTTATAGTAGTTGCCTTAGCATGTGCTGTATTGTATAAATACAGGCATTTAATAATTTAATATTTGTCCATTTCTAAATCCACTTATAAAAAGTCCTATAAATCTCTTTTATCTCTTTTAAACTACAATTTTAAATCATGTGACTGCAATTTCTCAGCACAGATTCCAAGCAGCCGGAGGGTGTGACTATCTGTGCAGTATTAGCATAATTTCCATAATGGATGTTTGCCTACTAGAATTAGGGTTTCAACAGCAATTAAATTAAAGTCAAGGACCAGGCCTCATTATATCATTTGATTATTCCCTTGGAGATGCTGCAGTCTGACAGAGAAGCAATATCAATCAGCAGTGCGGGACCGAGCAGGGACATGGCTGAAAAACAGGCTATGGAATATACAGGCATGTTGTGCACTTGCACACACATATCCTGCCCTCTGAACAAAAACACATGGGATGCAAACTGACTTTGCAAGCACAGATTGGTTTATGAACTTAGCCTTGTCATTTTACAACAGAGGAAGAAGGGCGACTGGCTGGCTCAAAAGGGTATTAAGCAGAAATCATGCAAAACTGGATAAAAGAATATATACACTTTTCATGTTCAAAGAGACGAAAACCTTCATTTACAATTTAGGGTAACAAACTTTTTAACTCCAGGATATAAAAATAACAAAGCAGCTTTTACAGTAATACTAAATTTTAATCAGCAGCTGTGCCCTACAGCAATTCCCTTCCCCCACAGCAAATCCCTTCCAACACTAGATGTCACCAATCTTTCAGGCTGAATAGTGACCAGTGTTATTTAACTTACTTCCTGTGAGCCCAAGCTGTCCTTAACACATGTATGCAGTGCATACATAACTAATTATGCCATTGACCTGAAGGGGGAGTTTTTTATTTAAGACTTTTACTACTGCTTTTAATTGTATGTTTCTTACATGTCATTACATGAGCCCCTCTTGGTCAAGTTAGACAGCCCTCTGATGCTGCAGAGGAGGAAGTGGAAGGACTCATGATGCCATTGGACTGGCCTTAGGACTACAGAAAAAAATTTATTTATAATGTGATTTTTTTAGGGAAGGCCATGGGAAGTCAAGGCTAGTCAAGGCTAGAAATCTAGAGTTCCTCTTTAAGTTTCCAATCAGAAGATGAAGGTAGGGTCTCATTTCCCCATGTTTGCCTGTCTTTCTTTAGTTATTGTTTAAAAAAAAATGTTTACACAGCCAAAAAGCTTAAGCTTAAATTCACGGATAGATCTAAAAAATAAGACAAGGGAATGATGTTCCCTCTTTTTCCTTCCTTGGCTGCCCTGTTCAGAAAAGATCATATGACAAAGTCAGAGAAGCAATCTGAAAACAATAGATTCTTGTATGCTCTCTCCTTATAAAACATAATGTTCTGTGAGATTTGTCAAGGGTGAGCCCCTGTACTAATTGTTTATTTGAAATAAATATTTATATAAATAGTAATACAATATACCGTATATAAACCCTTTTAAAAATATATGCGCTTAAAAAGATTAAAATAACTGAAAAAACTTTATAGTATCCCTTTACTTAAGCCTTAATTAAGATGCTCCAACTATGGATCTATAAATATTTGCTCTGTGATCCTCTCTCAGTGTCAATGATTTTCAAGAAGGTAGTGCAAAAAGAAAACCTGCAGCACAAAGTGCAGTAGCCTACAACTGAAATCAAACTGTGTTTCACTTTGTCTTTCACTTTTATGAATGAGCCTGATGGCGATAGAGAATTGTTAAGCAGGATTTTCCCCTATAAGAGCAATGGATGGACAACTGGAACAAAGGGTCTCTGCAATGGGGCAACAAAGTAAGTGCAATTAACACTGTAGCTCCTTCAGTGATATCCCACCCCACAGACCAACACCTTTTCTAGTAGTAGTTTATGAACTCTTTTACCTGTCAGATAAATATGCATTGTGTGACATGTTACAGACCTATAAGTGACTTCTTGATATTTAGAGGCTACGTTCACCTTTTAAAAAAATTAAAATAAATGCACATGTTTTTGAAGGTTAAAAAAATGTGCATTTGATATTTTTTCTCAGGAACCTGCAGAGCATTGCACCTGGGATCAGTGTATTATGGGTGCAATGTAAGACTCCTGCAAACTCTCCCTCAAGATTTTTTGCCTGTATCATACCTCAGTACAGGTTTTCTATTAGAAACCTGGAGAAAGTCTGAAAGAACTATGAGAATGCTCATACTATAGTTCTTTGAGAACTACAAGCCATCTGCTGCAGTAGAGATGGGACTTGTAGTTTCCACATTCACAGATGCCTGTGATTGAATGACACTGCTGTGTGGGCTGAGTCCCACACAGCCGCACTGATATCAAATGTGACAGTGAGTACTGGGGGAGAATCCCCCGCCAGTAAAGATGGGGTGGGGGTATTGCATTGTTACATGTTACCCCTAAATACGATTTTAACACGTAACATGTTACTAAAGGTGATCATATACTTTAATTAATAACATTGTCAGTGACTGATTACAAATTAGTTCCTCATGTTTACAATAATGGATTAAATCATATACAATGCTTCTTGTATATTTAGTTATAGTCTTAGCAGAATCTTAATAAAAAAAAAAAAAAGTAAAAGTAAAACTAGCAACCATTATCAGGTGAACTGCTGATGTAATTGATAGATCTATAGAGATATCTATCATTTTCCTGCTCTGAAATGTAATGTGGAAATGTGTACAGATTGTTTTACAATCAGAAAATCAAATACATTATGAAAATAAGTCTGTAAATGCTATCAATTACATATCCAAGAAATTTAACTTGCAGAATCAAATGGGAAATGAATATTAGCTCCATAAAATCCGGAAGACAGTCAAGTGTATTTAATAAGAGGCTATTAAAAACAATGTCATGCAAAGTGCAGTAACATGCCATAATCAAAATTTCAAATCACTCAATTTACTCTAATCACATCAATGAATAATGGATACTTATTGGTTGCTATAGGTTACAGCACTATGCATATTGCTCTTATTAAATAAACTAGAATATGCACCCTTTTGTAGCACTTTATTACAAACAATTTATTATTGTGGCATGTTTAAAAATATGATCAGCTTAAGGGATTGAAGCTTATGATTTGAAAGACCCTTAAAATGTTTCTCTTTCTTACTGTAGCTCAACGTTTGTAGTCTAACCTTGTGGATTACAAACTGAAAGAATGCCCTACTGTAATGGATCCTTAATTAGAGTGCCTACTCTGGAACATTGTTTCCAGCACTGATGAGTCATTCTGTGCCTCAATTAGTGAAATATCTACTGTAGCTAATCAGGTTCAAAACTGCGTGTTCTATATTCTAAATTGTATACGGTAAGTTTTGATGTTCACCACACATAGCCAGAAAAATACATATAAATATTACTGTTATCTTTGATCTCATTTGAAATTGTGAATGTATATGATATATGTCCATTGTTTCTTGCAGTGTGGGTTTTAATCTTTATGGATGATATAAAGAAACGCATAAATACACTGAGCTATCTGCTTATATACAGTATATAGTCAGTGTATTTAGTCAATTTCAATTTTTTGTGTGCTCCAGTAGGCTTAATCACCCTATTACATGTAACACTTCTCTGCAAAAGTTCCAGATTCTGTAATGCTCCTGCTGTCTCAATGCTGTATAATAAATAAAGAAAGCCCCAGGGAGTGTAAGATCCATCTTATAATGCCTTTGTGGCTTGAATCCCTATGTATGAGAAACTGATTCAACCTGTACGCAGCTATCCACTGCTAAAATAACAACCTTGGCTTCACTGATTCTTTTATTGGGAGGAGCATTAGCAGAAGAAGAGAATGGTATCACAGGCTAAAAAAACTGGTTATCTCTGCATTCAACATTTTCTAAGATGTTGCCGTACCTAAAGCTGTTTAGTGTTATCCACTGTATTTCACCATATGATTATTCACCATATAATGACCATACAAGTCATTTACATAGTCACAGATGCAATTTTGGATAAAGACTTGCAGTTAGCAGAAATTATATAGTAGTCATTTTGTGACCATGTTCAAGCTTTACACAGTGCTGCTCCCTGTAAATGGTTTTGTGATCCTCATGTGGTGCCCACCCCTTGTATGACTGGCTAAACTGAAGTGAGTTCCATGGAATGTCTGAAGAACCATGGTTAAGCCAAACAGGGAGCACAGAGCTTAACATCTGTGCACACACAATTACACTTCATCTTACTGTATTAGCACATAATGCACAAAACCTAACTGCCAGTATTCCCTTATAAGCTATGCTGCAGAGACAGCATAATCATCCAGATACTGGTCAATCAACCAACTGTTTTACTGAACAATTTCTTTAACTTTTCAATTTCTGGCCAGTGCAGTCTCCTAGGCAGGAAAAATAAAAACTTCCACAAAATCAAAATTCTATAATGTTACTGAGTCTTTTCAGTGCATTAGGCATAAGTATTCAAGTGCTAAGAATAAAGGCTGTCTTCAACAGTGCCGTACATGTCAGCAAGTCTTTTAAAGCGAGGACCCCATTCACTAAGGTAGTCATAATTATGTTCAGAGTTGGAACTCACTGACTCCAATGAGCTCAGAGATTCCGCAACTGAGCCATTGCCTTCAAATGCATATGTCTGTAGGGAGTCATATGGAGGAGCACAAGGGTCCACATCAGCTTCCTTAAGCCTTTCCCAGATAAATTCCCTAAAGATTAAATTGTCTGGAACACTCCTGGTAGATGGACGGCTTAAGAATTGAATCTCTGGAGTCACATCCCTCCTGCTTTTGTTGTCTCGGATGATATTAAGGTTCCTCAAAGTAGTCATGTCGAATGCCTCAGTATCTTCTTCACCACCTCCTTCATCATCATATCTAACAATGTTCTCTCTTACATCTCTTTCTTCATCAAATATCAGTGGTTCCTTTTTACGTCTTCTCATGGTGACAATAAGAAGAACAAGCACTGCATTAAAGAAAAGAAATCAAGAATTAACTCCAACTAATATATTTAAGGCAAACATATAATTTGTTGTGTTCTAATATAGCTGATGTTTGATAGTGCCTTCTACATTTCTCCTATATGCCACTCCTTTGTCTCTGAGGATTAAGGTCAAAATCCTTAGGATGAGACACCCGTGCATGAACAATATTGCCAATGGGTGCTCCATCAAGCAGCAAAACAACATGAGCCCAAGGTGACATTGAGGCTTCATGGAAAGACCTCAGGCAGAAAGACAAAGTCTATCCATTCTAATAGTGTAAGGGCACTAGGACAATTATATTATTGTACTGAAATAACTGAAATGAAGGTGCCGGTGAGCCACAAACCCTGTCATCCAGCCATAATTTATTATTTTTTTCAGATTTTTATATTTAGTAGGCTACACACATTTAGAATGTGAGGAAATGTGGTTTAATTTAAAATGTGATAGCATGCCCAGATAGCTATCATTTCTAGGTGAGATTCTCTGTGCTGCAGTATTGGTTAGGTTAATATGCGATTTCACATTTATTTTACACACTGTGAGATAAATGATTCTAATTTACAATACTTATCTCTTGTATCCTCCTTTGAAAGATTTTCCTTTCTATGTTTAAGCCTATGGGGAAAACTGTTAAAAGTCGGTCTCAGTCTCCATAACAGAGTGAAGCACATTTTTTTTCCTGCAGCATCCCTTGACACATATAACAAGCAATAAATTGCTTGTCATGTAGTAGCTACCAGGCTTTCCTCTAATGATCCATATATTAGTAGATGCCTTGCAAATGTAAAATATTGCTAGATCAGCCTTAATGTTTGCTTGAAAAATAATGTAAACACTAGTTCACTTCTAAATTAAATAGAGGAGACAGTGGTTTCAGGCATATTAGCAAAACTTTCCAGAAATGATTTGAAGAAATTTGTGTGACCTTTTAAAATGACATTTAAATGGTTTTATATTGTCTAAACAAGCAGAGGCTGTATCAATTAAAATTAACGGAAGGGTCATTTTCTGTATCTGGACAATTTTTTTAATTCATGAAAGCTACCATATACAGCATGTATAATTTTAATAATTTTCTTTGTTTCTTAACTAATGATAAAATAACATTCATATATGGATGTAAAGTGTTTGATAAGGCACTGTACATCTGCAAGGCAAAATGACATGCATGTAAATAAAAAACTGCCAGAATTAAACAAAACCTGTTTAAAGTTATGAAATGAAGCTAAGAAGTATAAAGTAGGCACTCTGAGGAGCCTGAATGTACTCCTCTGTATCTTCCAGAACTTTCTGGGAATTCCCAAATATGGAGCCCCAAATATGTAAATACTGAATTGATTTCTAAGGTTTGAACTCTGGGCCTTCCAAGGTTGCTGTTGCTGATTCTCTGTTGATAAGAAAGGCATAGCACATTGAATGGATTAAACAGAGTAGTTGGGGAGCTTTGTCTTACAACGTGGAAGATTCAGATGCATCAGTGCTCTGGGTTGTGAGAATCACTGGGTTCTCAGGAGGATAAAGAGTAGGTAAAGTATTGTGTAGGAAGTTAAAGTTCTGGAATAATGATATTTATTTAGCGATACATTGTTTGCTATAATTGTCTGTTTATTCACACATATAAATCGGTGTGTGATTCCACAGCTTCAACTTTGATTATCCACTAGGCTACAGACGGATGTTTATCATCAGTATAGACAGATTTTCCAAAATAACACTCAACATTTCCCATTGGTATATTATCAATGACTCTACAAATCCAAACCCACTAGGGTGAGTTTAGACCAAAGCCAGGTAAAGTCCTGGGTATGCATTACGTTCTGTAAAGAATGGTATGCTTGTGGCTCAGTGCTTCCCAGACATTTTATAAAATTTAAAAGCAGGTGGCAGCCATCGGTATCCTTTATATCAGAATGCTCACACCTCTCCATTTAAGATATAGATCTTCATGAAATCTATACAAGTTATTCTTGTCAATGCATAGTAAACTTAAAAAACCTTGATGTTTAAGCCAATTAGCAGAAAAAAAGAGAATTTTAACACTATCCATGGCTACATTCACAGGCAAAGACGTATGAGCTTTGTAACAATATACTCATTGCTTGCAGTTTTAGTTTCTACAGCATTCCCTATCTCAAATTACTGAATGTTTAGTTGTTTGTAGCTGTTCTTGGGTCTTGTTAGTGGGTACTGCCTACCATCAAATGATATTTTGACATTATCTTTTTTTTTTTTTACATGCAAGGAGAGAAAAAAAAAATAATTTTAAAAAATACACCCCTCTACTCAAGTCTTTACTGCTTTGGTGAAGCAATTATTCAGATCTCAAATCAGAGGTGTTTTATAACAGTATAACTTTTGCATATTGTATTTTGCTTCTAATTCTGGCTAGATCACTAATAAAAGTTCCCAGGGATATTTCAGAGATTTGCAATATAATAGCACTCTTTACAAAATACAGGGATTTTTTAAGTTCTGACTTAGAGCATTAGAGATGGATTTAACAATTTTAAAGTATCAGTTAATAAAAGACAAGGAAAAACAGTGCAAACAAAATATTAGAGATAGGCAGCATTCCAACAGATTGCAACAGAAAAGATACAATAACAATAGCAAAACAAAAAGGAATTAAAATGTTAGTATTTAACAACAGTCTGGGGTTCTTTGATTAGACAGAGGTCTAAGGTTTTGAATCCTTAGGGCTCTCTAAGCAAATGTACTTTGTTTCATTGATAAGTGAGAGTTTCATAGTTCTGATGCAGCAGCTTTTTATGGACTTTCTAGAAGGCATATTTAGTCTTAAAACGAATGCTACTTCCTCACATAGTCATATATACATGTTTTATAAAATCATTCAATTATATCCATAGTTATGAAAATCATACAAATCTTAACTGCAGAGGTGCATCACCTACCAGATAGTCCTGGATGAAGGGGCATCTTATTATAACTGATTTTAAAAACTAAACTGTTTAGTCATTAAGATCACACCCCTTGACAGGTCTCAGGTTATCAGAGTTCTCCTTACTACAGCCATCAGCAGCTTCCAAGTCAATCAATGTTCTTTGAGGCTGTGCAGAATGTGTGCCAACAAGTGTTTATTCCACTTGAGCTGTTTAAGAAATACCTTGCTTAATAGTGCTCTTGAATTAGTGGTGAATAGATAGGCGCTGTACTCAAATGAAATATGTAACAAAGTATAAATTATATACTGTATATGCACCCTATAAACCCAATATAATAACTGGATTATTATTATTACTATTATACAGGATTTATACAGCGCCAACAGTTTGCTCAGCGCTTTACAATATAACGGGAGACAATACAGCCACAATACAGTTCAATACAAGAGGGATAGGAGGGCCCTGCTCCTCGGAGCTTACAATTTAGGAGATATATAAAAATATATAAAGTGACTGAATAGTCCTAATTTTATGAAACATGCTTATGCTTCCACCAAGTGCTGGATGAATGCAAATTGGGACAGTCCTTCTTAGACCTCAAAATTTGGTCACCAACATACATGGAGGAACCTCCAGAGGTTATCCTGATTTATAACACACAATGCGAGATATGACCACTGTAATAGGGACATATAGGTCTGCTGAGTGATCCATTTGTTTGCTTTCCACTGAGGTATGGACACATGGATTTCTATGTCACCAAATTTTGAGGTCTAAGAAAGACTGTCACAATTTGAATTCATCCAGCATTTGGTGGAAGCATAAGGACGTTTCATAAAATTAGGACTATTCAGTTACTTTATATATTTTTATAATTTATTTGTGTTTGGTTTATGATTCGTTTGAAATTTGTTTATTGGCATTTATTTACAATACTCATTATCCAGTTATTATATCGGGTTTATAGGGTGCATATATATAATTTATACTTTATGTTACATATTTTTTTTAAGTACAATGCCTATCTATTCACCACTAATTTGCTTGCAAGTGTCACATTCACTTTTTAGAGGCAGCTGTAAAAACCTCCTAGGGGGGTAATACATTAACTTATATCAGTTTCAATTGGTGCTACAATAATTAATTTTTGTTTCGTTTAATAGTGCTCTTGCCTAAAGCTGATAACATCAGTTTATTAACCCCTTATGATGTGTTCATGTCTGTGGCGATGCATTATTATTTTGGGAGTGGGTCACTGCTGGCTATATGGATATTAGCCTGCTCTGTGTTTTCTTTTTCTAAAAAAAGTCACTGCTTGCTTGTAAATTTTAAAGCAACAAGGCTACCCTGTATTTGCCCATACATTTTTGGGACACTCAGATCTTATTATCATCGCACTACTGAGGTGAGCTAACATACAGTAGGTCTGTAACATATTTGTTTGCTTGCCAAAGCCTAAACTTCCAAATGGCTAATAAATAATAATAATGACTGCATACATGGGTCATTGTCACCATTGTACTTCCAGAATTTCCATTGCACCCATTCAATAATCCCACAAATACTGAATGGTTGGGGTAGTAATTACAATACACATGGGGTTTTGTATAGATCCTGGGTAACTTATACCTTGACTAATATTTATTTTTTGTTGTTGATATGAATGGAAATGCATTAGTTATCTTACCTAGGAGTGTCAAAACACAAGCAAGTATTGCAATCAGAGCTCCAGTACTCAATCCAGCAGGTAAAATGTAAGCTTCAGAATTACAGGTTTGTGCTATCCCATCCACATCACAGTCACAGACTCGTATAGTAAGTGTATTGGTGCTGCTGAGTGATGGAGATCCACTGTCCACTATGACAACTGGTAAATAAAATACAGACTGTTCTTGCCTCCGGAATCCATTTCTCTTTGTTATAACTGAAGCTGTATTATCTGTAGAAAATAGATTTTAATAATATTACATTTGTAGTAAATATCTGGGAAGGAAATTATGCTTAGAATTTTAGTGAATAATGAAAAAACTATAAATTAAGTAATATGTAGGTTGTCTTTGCCGACCTAACATTCTGAAAATATCAGGTTCCTGGCTGTCATGGATTCAGTATTTTTTAAATCACTGACTGTTGGGAAGTCTGACCTTACCGTGATTTTGATTGACATGCTCATTCCAAGTTAGTGTCTCCATGTACTGCAGACAGGCAACCTGTGTTTGCAGAAGGAGGTCATCAATGGCTACCCCCATATTTTTCTCAATATGGGTTTTTTTAGTGCACTACAAATCACTACTTTTTTTGGCAGTATTTAAGTCCCGATTAGTTAATAAACTAGCAACTACTGGAAATATACAAATACAACCTATGAGCTAGGTGATCTGCACTGAAACTTAAAACTTCTACAATGCATAGACTTTTGTAGAGCTCTGCTCCCCCACAAGGTCTTTTAGCATAAATATATAAAACAATCTTCCTTTTTCCTTATGATATCATCATAACACCCTTGTTTTAGGGTAATAAACTTTCCAGTAATTCTACAGTCTGGGACATTTTGTTGATTGCTGATATCTCAATAACAACTTTAAAGAACAGCCCATACAGTCTGATCTGCTGCTTATGTGATGTGTCATGACAGCAATGACTTCTGGCTAAGCCCTGTCTCAGCTTCAGTCAAATTAAATAAGCAGACCCACAATACACTCCATATGGGGAATGAAGTTATATGAATTTCCTCCACATGGTTCAATTTCTTTCCACAATCCAAAGTCAACAATATAGGTTAATATGCCAACACCAAAAACGGACCCTAGTTTATGTACACATGTGTGCATGTGGTAGGAACATTACATTTTCATCTCCTTTAGTTATTAGCGACTGGTGTAAATAGTTTTTATTATCTGTAACAATACTGCAAAAAAGAAATGTGTGCCCTATATAGCTAAATAAACACTTTGCAGATAGATCAGTAATATAAACAATATAGATAAAATTTTAAACTTTTTAAATAATGTGCATTGAAAAATAAATTTTTTGGGGAAGATTTCCTGTTTAGAAAAAGTTGCAAAAATCATCTTAGTATAATTTTTCATAATTAAAGTCTCAAAAATCATCTTAGTATAATTATCTAATTAAAGTCTAGCCAAAACATTGGTGCAACATCCCCTCTTGGTTTTTCACACTTAGTTCCTCTTATATTTAGATGTGGTACCTGTTTACATACATCCTCATGTTATATGGTAATCCTGATAATAAATTGTGAATGGGACAGAAAAATATAAGAAATTGTAAATTTTACAGTTGTCGCCAGAACAGAAGGTCAGGGAAAATACGGTACTGGAGACACCTATGCAATAACAACTGTCTAAAGCAAGGTATACATGTCCAGTTTTTTTTCTTTCATTAAACCAGCAGGATGAAAGAAAAAAAAAACTGACAGATCCCTGCATCAACACAAACAATGTTGATGCAGGGATCTCTTACACAGTGTCCTTATATTCTGCCACAAGGGATCAAATACACAGATCAGCCCCGCAGCTATTATTATAATTATTATTATTATACAGGATTTATATATTGTCAACAGTTTGCACAGTGTTTTACAATAAAAAAGGAGTCAGTACAATTACAATATAATTCAATGCAGAAGGAATAGGAGGACCCTGCTCGTGGAGCTTACAATCTAAAGGAAGGGGGAGGTGGTACAAAAGGTGATAGCTGCAGAGGATGGCTCAAGTACATTTCTTAGGTGGAGGTGGGGTAAACTTTCCTCAATAAGTGAGTTTTCAAAGATCGCCTAAAGGAGGACAGGGTGCTGGCTGACTGGACATACTAGGACAAGGAGTTGCAGAGGATGAGAGAGGCTCTGGAGAAGTCCTGGAGGTGAGCGTGGGAGGAGGTGATGAGGGAGCTAGAGAACATGTCTTGAGAGGAGCGGAGCAGGCGATTTGGATGGTATCTGTGGATGCAGTTGGCGATGTAGCTGGAGCAGTGTTGTGGATGTTGTAGTTAGTATTTTGAATTTTATACGCTGGGTTAGTGGAAGCCATTGAAGGGATTGGCAGAGAGGTGCAGCAGTCACTGATCCGTTGGTAAGTTGTATGAGTCTAGCAGCACTTTTCATAATGGACTGAAGGGGGGATAACCTGTGTAATGGTAGACCAGTGAGGAGGGAGTGGCAGTAATCAAGGCACCGATGCAAGCACTGATCAAATGCTGGTTTTCCAGCAAGACTGTTCAACAAGACTGTTGAACAGACAGCAGTACACATGGACCAAAATTCAGTTGATTCCTGCCGAACCAGCTGATTTTTGGTTCATGTATACCCTGCTTAAGTGTGACACTCCCCTCACCTTTTAGAAATTTCTCTTCACTCCCATTTCTGAGATAGGAAGGTAAGGGAAATCTCCCCAATGGGGTGAGGACAGCAAAAAAAAAAACACCTTTTTTTAATATTATATACTTTGCTTCCTGCTTAAGGATTCCTTTGTAGAAGAGAGTAATTAAATCAAATAAACAGCTGGGTGGTTTTACATTAATTGTTTTATATATGCCTTCATGTGAGACTGTATTCCAGGAGAACAAAAGAGTGGTTTGCCCGGGAGCAAAACAAACATTAGAGCCCAACTCTGGGCGAAAAAAGATTTCCCTTGCAGTGAGCCTGCGCTTACATTGCAAGGGTTAAGTGCTCATTTTGTACAAGGGAGAGGAGAAAGGCTTGTACTCACCAGATCCTTGGCACTACTGATGAACAGCACTCCTACACGATCCAGCGGTGGACTGTTTCTGGAATCCTAATGTCCAGAGAAGGTCTATGGAACCTGCTCTGGGCTTGATGATATCAAGACTCAAGACCACTAGGGTCTTGTGTGGGAAGGTTAGGAAGATTAGGTAGTTATATATCCTTTCATCAAGAACGAGCACTTACTCTGCTCTTCCCACTGTAAGGGGAAACGTCTTTTTGTTCAGCTATAACATAAAACAGAGAGGTACACTGTCATATGCCAAATGCTCTTAGCACTAATGTAAGCACACCCACTCATGACTTGCTGCAGAAAGAGCACATATATCACTAGGAGGAGGATGTTAGAGGACCTAATCCAATCTTCCTATATTTTCCCACTTCTAAACCAAACAAATGAAATGCATTTTGCAGCTGTATACTATCAGTTAAGCAGTAAAAATATTCTCATATACCCCAAAAAATCTGCATGTGATGAAGGAAACCGCATGCTATATCAGATATACCAATGGCAGAGGGTCATAAATGAAATATTCCATAATTTGGAGAAGATTTCATGCACAGCACCCAGCAATGTTTTCTAAAGGATTATATCTGACCCATAGTGAATTCACATTACAATTCCTGGGAAGAAGGGAATTTGCATCAAAGCACTACCATAATGCCCTGCAGTGCAAAAAGATGATAAACCTCTGTCTGCTGTCCATCATTGAGAGATTAAAGGGCGGGCTGTAACCTAATTTTACCAGGGTCAGAGAATTTGCCCACAGTAGGACAGTGCCTTCTGCTGAACGATGTTATTACATGTGGCAGAATCATATGAAAAATGCAGAATGGACAAACGACTTGTAAGGGGGCTGTAAGGACACCAGAATAAATTATTCTCAGTGTGGGGGTTTATTAGTCTTGTGTGTTATAAGATCAGTAGCCCAGCAATTTTTATATCTCTTTCTTATAAGCCCAATCAGTGGATGGACTTTCTACCTAACTTTATTATCCATGCTCTTTTATTGCAATTATCTGTAGCATTTGGAGTTCTTTGTGTAATTATTAGTGATTTTTCTTTATAAATAAGACCTATGTTTATTTCCAGTATTATTTTTTATTATTATCATCATTGTTGTTATCCATATCATATTTCTAGCAGATCTTAATTCATGAAGGAGCAAAACAGAAGTTATTTAATTTGGCATCCCAGAAGCAGGGGTGGACTGATCATTTGGAAACTCGGGCACTGCCGGAGGGCCCGGGGTCAGTAGGGGGCACCATGAGATGCCCCTGGTACCTTTTTCATAGGCTTTTTTGAGTTTGGGCAAGGACATAGGGGCCCCATGATCCCCTATTGCCCGGGGGCCTCATGAGTTGTCAGTCCACCCCTGCCCAGAAGTAAGAGTGTGGAAAACTCAACAGTGCAGAACCCAAATCCCAATCTATTTTGTCTTGAGTTTCAAAAAGCTAAAGAAGTCCTGATTGTACCAGACCTCTATAAGGGATACAGAGCTGAAGGCACCCATCTTTGCTGTGGACAAGATCCACATTGCTTTGTGAATTCTGAATTTTTGCCCAAAGATACATGGATTGAAATACATGGCCATACATGGATTTAAATTTGGCCTGTTCAGTATGGGAAGGCTGGTTGTACCCAAGTCGATCCATCAATCAGCTTGAGTACAACCAGCCTGTAAGATTTTTCTGCATGTGATTACTGCCAGTGGCTATAGCCACTAACAGTAATCATTGTATTCTGCCAGCCAAGAAGGCTCCCCATGCCCCCCTACTGGCAGAACACAATAGTGCTGCAGGAGGGATTCCCCCATCAACACAGTCAATGGTGGAAGGAAAGAAAATCACTTAATCTACTGCTTGCCTAAGTGATACTAAAAGATTTGTAAAGTACTCCAGGAGTGAACATATCTGGTGAATATAATGTTCCTTATTTTTGCCTGGTGTATGTAGGCATATGTGTTACATTTATTTTTATTGTGTGTACTTTCTTGATTTGTATATGCTGCAGTTATTGAGCCTGTATTGCTGTTCATTTTGTTTGCCTGTGTTAAAGGATTGATTGCCCCTTTGTTAACTGATGTACCCTGCAGACGTATAGGATAAATTCAGATGTCTTTGAGGGGAAAGTGGGAAATATTTTTTTCAAGTAAAAGGGAAGTAGCTTTCTGCCCTAGCAAAGGAGCACTGTGGCCGGG